GTCTTAGTGTATTTTAGTCAAATTCTTGAGATAATGGTCTCTGAAACTGGTGAACTCTTTGTTTTGATAAATGTACATTAAATGCGTTTTTGTAATATTAAATATAGGATAAGAAATTAGCAGTGTCCTTAAGAAGGAAGTAATTGTATACCTACTACAAATCTATCTCAAACCCACAATACATTTGCTAAACCATTTTCTGTCAGTTACCTTAAACAGTATTAGACTATAATTACTATTGTATACTATATAGTGTAGAAGTTAGAAAGACACATAAAAACTTTTATTTTATACATTTCTGCTCGAATTCGGTGCTATTGAATGTAGTAATAGCACATCAAGTTATTTTACATCCCATATTTTATGTATCTTTTACCACAACTTGCTGAAAACTTTAACAATGACTTAGTTGTATTTGCTAGTTGTATTGCTTTAGTTGAATTAATTAAAATTGTGTTAAGACTTATACTGTGTAATATAAGACGACAGTAGAGCGAAAATGTGTAAAAATTAGATTTAAATGAGTTCAGAAGTTATTGTAAGTTTTAAAAGATTTGTGTCCTTTTCAGATTATTTTTGTTGGAGGAGAAATATGGACATATTGTAACAATATTGAGAGAAAGGAAATAAAGTAAGAGTCACTATCTTTCACTTTCTTTGTGCCCTGGTTAAAGAACAAGAGGAAACACAATTGTCATGCTTAAAGTAATATTCAGACCTACTGTACTTTGCGGCCTGCCTTGATAGTATTGATTAGTTTTACTGGGAAACCTGCAGCACACAGAACATTTGTTCACAACCTTGGGTAGTTTGTGTATTGTCACAGCTTATGTCTGTGTGTCATGTATAGAGGAGCATGCAAGAGAGCAGGCACAGCCAGGCATGGAAGAAAAACAAGCAGGATTGACGGTCTAAATCTGTGGTTAAGCAAAGTCCACTGCCGAGTAGTTCAAGGCACAAAGGCTAAATCCAGTAGACGAGGTCAGGATGAAGCGAGGGTTGTGAATCCAGATAAAACACAAAGCAAGGAACACTAGAACAAGTGGGAACTTGGAAGGGAACAAGTAGGCTCAGAGCACAACCCTACAAAAGAGCACAGGACACTTCCAAGGCAGATCTTATATAGTGTGTTCCTGCTGAGGCAGGTGTGTTGGTAACTTATGCACAGGTGGAATGGATGTCACACCTGAGCCCATACTCACAGCAACTGGCTGATGAACAGGTGAGTAGAGGCTTTGCCAGTTCCTGCAGTGATGCTAGCTCGCTCCGCAGTGCTCGAGCAGGAGCAAACATGACAGTTTGTTAACAGAATCATTCCTTTTATTTAACTTCCATCTCTGACACATTCCCTTAACTTGTCCTTTATCTCCTCACAGATCTTCCTCCTCGCTTGTCCACCGTGTAAAACTGCAATGATCATTTTCAGGTGAGTAAGTGCACAGAGTGCAGAATTTGAAATAGTACAATGACAAAGGAGGTCTGAAGAAATGTTATTTTTGGTTGTGTAGAGCCTGTGATCTTCACAGTGAAAACAATGCTTGAGGATGATATATTAAGTATTTTTGTCTGTTTTATGTACTGTAAACGGTGTCTGTTTACTTTGGCCTTTACAGCAAACGCTGAGACATTTTTTTTTCTTGTGAAATTGTTTACTTACAGTACCTCCTCTTATGTCAATTGGCATTAAGGGCAGCTACTGTATAAAGATGTTTGATTTGTCTCTCCAGGTTTTCGATGACATTCGATTCTATGCTATGTTAAACATAATTTTTTTTCTCCCTCAGGCATACTGAGCATGTTGTCTTAGTGATGACTCTTTCATTCCTCTAATCTTCTGCCCCTTTTAATGATGGTGTGAATGAAGTCTTGATCATTCTGAGTGAGTCTCTTGGTTAGAGGGTTGGATCTTGGCCAGGATATTTGTTTTCTAAGACTGGATGTATGGAAGGCGTACAGTTCTGTGGTCATGCTCACTCATCTACCAGCACTCTGATTTATAAGGGCACACAGCTGTTATGGATTCAAAGCTTTCTTTCAGTATTGCACTGGGCTGACTTTCAAGTTCATGAAGGAATTCAAGCTTTGTTCAGTCAGTTACCAATAGTCTGTCTGTCAGTCTGTCGATTAGATGATGGGGTCAGCACATCATGAGCCATTAATCCAGTTTGCTAGCCAAAGGCATTTCAATTCTTTTCCCATGAATTCTAAGAAGTGTGACAGGACAGCAAGTTCAATTGTGAAGTGTATAGAAGAGAATCCCTCTCACTATTCTTGGCATGTCCTTTATTGTGCGTTATATTACCTAGTCAGTGGCAATATTCAGAAGGATGGCTGCCATAACTTTAAAGCTCAAGTCACCCAGACCAACACTACAAAAGAAGATGGGTTAAAAACTGTTAATATTCAGATGCAGAGTAGCAACCCATACTGTATGTTCCTTTACAGACTGTCCCTGTGAAGACTGTCAAACTCCTTCTCGACATTGTTACTCCACACACTGTTCAGTGACAATTTGCCGAGTATAAAAATCCCATCTAGGTATCGCTAATGTGTGAAATCCAGCTTCTGTCTTCCTTAAGAATTTATGTACAGATTCCAGCTATTGCTGGACTATAATCTTATTCAAAATTTAACTGGACATCGACAGTGACTTATTACAAAATCTTAAAAACCTGACTTTAAATGACACAAAACGAGTAAGATTAAAAAATGAAAATGGAATATATGCAGAGTTATGTTAATTAATTCATGTTATAATTAATTCTTGTGACATTTTGCCAGTTTGGCTTTAACACATAAGTGTATTGAGAGGAAATGTTGGCCAATCAGGTTCTCTGTGACAAGCTGTATTTAGAACCTGACCTCATTGTGCAGTATAAATACTAAAAGGTTTAGATGTAAATCTCTTTGAATAGACCAGCATGTAGGTCAAATGTGATTTAATGTGACTTTCCTTTTTTATTCCGTGATTTGTCATGAAGTTCTACATGCAGTTGTTATTTTCATTCTCAGGTTTTTCAGTTGTTTTTCAGTTGTAACCACTATGTGTGACGTTTCTAATACTAAACTTTAAAACAACTAGTAGAACTCAGGGGACTGTTTTCTCCTTGAGAAGGTTTGCATGCATAGTATCTCATTTCAACACCATTGAACATTGCGCTGAACAAGCTCTGAAAAAACACGTATCTAGCTACTTGCTGGATATATCTGTGGGATTTTAATGCTCCATACTGTATCTTTATTTTCAGGTTTCGTTTTTAAAACTAGCCCACTTTTCACCACAAAATTCATATCTGTTTTTCTGCATTCAAGGCTGTTCACTAATTTGCTTGGTCCCCTCCTGAAATTGTTCAGAAGATTTTTCTAGTTTCCTAGTTATTATGCATTCCAGGAGAAATGTGGCCTCACATGAATACACAGTATGCTATAAATAATGAAAACCAGCAGCTGGTCCTTTTCTTTGGGGAAATGAATTAAACTATCTTCAAAGA